ACGATCTTCACTGGGACTATCGTCTGACTCTTCTGACCATCACCAGAGTCTGTCTCCAGGTACCTAGATGATTCACACTTTGGACAGTACTTTGCATCCACATGTTCTTTCTAGAATAGGACGCACCCCTTCGGACAAGCATGTATCTGCTCATACGGCATCTTAAGTGCCCGAAGGAGCTTCTGTGAATCGTACATGCTCTTTGGCAGAATGTGGCCCTCCAGAAGCAGGGTGCCAATCACGATCAACATCTTATCGAAGCTGTCTCGACTGATGTTTAACTCGGACTTCAACGCCATCAAGCGTCCAATGGCGTCAAGTTCAGACACCGAGGACCGATCGTAAAGGGGCTTCTGAGCAGAGTTCACCATCTCATAGAAAGCCTTTGTGGCTGCCTCCATCTCCTCCTTCTCACGTTCGTCAACGCCGAGTGCTTGGTGAACATCATCTAACAAGTCTGGTACACCGGCATCATCATCAAAAGCTTCGACGCGTGGTCTCACCACCTCCTCTCTCGTACGATGGGCTTCACCATGGTAGATCCACCGGGTGTAGCCCGGCATATATCCATTCTTCACAAGATGTTTACCCATGTCGACCCTATTTATCCTTCTCCTGTTTGCACATTTGGAGCAGGGACATGGCTCTAGCAGATGTGATGACCAAGCCTTGCCAAATGCCTTGTTCAAAAAAGCCTCGGTCTTGTGAAACCATTCATCTGTGTACTCCATGTGACTTTTCCAGCCCATGTACATCCATTGACGGTCATCCATCCTCTAAAATGCCAGCGAGTAATGCAACCATCAACTACATCTACATGACTTTCATATTGTCTAATAGGTGAGGATAGGTCCTAATCCCACCCGCGGATGCGTAGATGAGGTTAGTTACCATGGTTTGCTCCTATCCCAGACATAATTTCGGCAGCACCTCCCCGCTGTTCTCCCAATACACGTCCTGGCAGGGAGAGTGTGTATCCGGAGAACAACAGGGAGGTACTGCCGAAACCCTGTCTCGGATCGGGGTGGACCATGGAAACTAAACTCATCTACGCATCCGCGGGCTGTCCAAATAACGTGGACAATCTGAAAAAGATACGGCCGTAGATATGCAAAGATATGCATACCACCAACCGTATCTCTTTCAGACGGGAGACGCCCAACTTGGTTACACGATCTATGACCAAGGTACGCAAAAGAGGGGTTATACCTAGGGTGTCGGTGGAGTTAGGCTAGCGGGGCGGTGGCGAGTCGGTGCAATGGCGAGGCAAAGCAGTGTAGGCAGACCCGCAACGCCGAGGAAGACGATCGGTGTAGCCAAGGTGCTCTGGCTCTGCTCAGATAGTTCCTTCACCTGCATGAAAAACAAATAGATTTGGGTCAATTCTAAATTTTGGCAGCACCTCCCCTGCACGGGGAGGTTTCCAAAACCTACAAAAAACAACGGCACGAAGGCCGACAATCACAACAGCTCGAAGGCCGACAATCACAATGGCACATCATTATACCTTGGCGGCAGAGGCGTCGACGAGATGGGAACACGGGGAAGATGGCGCCGGGAACGGAACGGGAAGGCAACCTCCTTCCTCCTTCTTCCTCCTTCCTCTCCTTCCTCCTTCCTCTCCCCCTTCTTCCTCCTTCTGCACCGGTCGTTCGGTGGGGCGTGGCGGGGCGAGGCGGGGAGCGGCGGGGCAGTGGCCGGCAGGGCCGGGTGCGGTGCTCTTCGCCGGTCGCGGCGGCGGGAAGCGGGGCCGGACGTGGCGCGGCGCAAATCGGCGACGGGGAGGGTCGAGGCGGGGCTTGATGCCGGCGTCGGGGCAGCGCGCGTGCAGCGGCGGCGCGGGGCGGGGCGCCAGGGCAGCGCGCGCGGGCGCGGCGGCGGTGCGGGCTGCGCAGGCAGCGCGCGTGGGCGGCCCAGGCGCGCGCGGTGGCGGCGCGGGTGCGGCGGCGGCGGCGCGTAGGCGGCAGAGAGCGGTTGTGTGGATAGGGTTTGGCCGGGGTGGGCCGGTTGGGGCCCATTTTGATGTTAGGTCCTTTGCCTAGTGCCATGGGCCGGCACTCGGCAAAGGTTTTTTATTTTTATTTATTTATTTTCTTTGTCGAGTGCCCTGTCTCAGGCACTCGCCAAAGACCCCCTGTGCCGAGTGCCAGGTCCGTGGAGATGTCCTGGTTTCTAAGCACCGTACGTGACAACGTGCACGAAACTTTTTCAAATTTTTACCATAGGCTCCACATGCTATATAACGATGCATCCACAGGTTTCGTGATTTTCTGAATTTTTTTGAATTTTATACAATTTAAAAACACTTTGGGCGCAACTTTGTCCTCATGTTTTGTTAACAAGATGTGAAAAATATCCCGCAAGTTCCTGGATACGGCCTCAAAACACACTCACTAGCATGACAATCATTTTTCGAATGATTAGATTTCATTATTCGATGCACCTGCAGTTCAAATTTACTTTTTGCGAAATAAATCAACAAAACAAAAATAATTCTAAAAATATAGTAAAAAGTCACAAAATTCAACCAAATTTTAACATGTACTTTAAAGCACTCTAGCAACCCTAAAGAAAAAATCTGGGAGCAAAAATAAAAAAAAATTCTTTGCCGAGTGCCAGACGTGGCACTCGGCAAAGGGGGTCTTTGCCGAGTGCCAGAGACAGGGCACTCGGCAAAGAAAATAAACAAAAAATTAAAAAAAAATTAAAAACTTCTTTGCCGAGTGTCTGACGGCGACCACTTGGCAAAGTCTAACGGTGGGTGGCCGCCGTCACCTCGGTTAGCCTTTGCCGAGTGTTTAGCTTTGCCGAGAGCCCGACACTCGGCAAAGGGAGGCTTTGCTGAGTGCTATCCTTTGCCGAGTGCCTGGCACTCGGCAAAGAAGAATATGCCGAGTGTTTGGCTTTGCCGAGTGCGGCACTCGGCAAAGTCTATCTTTGTCGAGTGCCCGACATTTGGCACTCGGCAAAGTAGGAAACACTCGGCAAAACCCCTATTTCCCGTAGTGTGGTGTCCATATAGCATTTATATTCCTTTATTATTAACTTCTCAGGATTTTAAAATGAATATTTGGAACCCTAAACGACTTCAGATAAAAAAGTCATCAACTACAAAGTTGTTGTTCTTATCGAGATCTACAATATTGATGTTGGTGGTTTCGCCATCCGAGGTCGTTTGACAAATTTATATTTCAAATCATCAAAACTTCAGCCATAATGTTGGGACCTCAAATGATTTCAAATGAAAAAGTCATCAACTACAAAGTTGTAGTTCTCATCAAGATGTACAACGTTGGTTTTAGTTGATTTTCCATCCAGGATCATTTGCAACATTTGAATTTCAAAATTTAGAACTTCAGATACAAATTTAAGACCCTAATTGATTTCTAATGAAAACGTTGTCACCTACAATGTTGTAGATTATAGCGAGATCTACAACTTTGCTTTTGATCATTTTTCTACCTGAGATTGTTTGTACAATTCGAAAAAATTGAATTTTAAAATATCAATGCTTCAAATAGAATTCTGGGACCCTAAACAATTTTAAATAAAAAATCATCAATTATAAAGTTATAGATCTCATATAAAGTTTGTTTTCATCCAACTTTGTTGGAAAAAGTTATGAATTTCATTTTGCTGTAGCATAACTCATCACCACCGGTTTGTATTATGAAACGTTAGTGAAATGATTTTCGCCATCGGTTGGTACCACAAACCGGTGATAAATATGGGCCGACCAACACTACCGGTTGGTAACACAAACTGGTTGTAATGATAGGTTATCACCATCGGTTCATGTTACCAGCCGGCGGTGATAACTGCCCAAATTTTCATCAACAGTTCGTAACACGAGCCGGCGGTGAAAATCATTTCACTAACGGTTCATAACATGAATCGGCGGTGATGACTATCACCGCCGGTTTTCAGCAAACCGTCGGTGAAAGTGGCGACGGTGATTATCAATTATGTAGTACTGCTTGATTCCTCTGTTGTAATCCCTTATTGGGCATTCCTAATAACACATAGAACACCATACTGCTGGACGTAGGGCTCAAAAGCACGAATCAGGATAAACCGATCTGAGTCCCTTACGTGTTTTGAGTGTCCGAGCCACCATAGAACCATACACCGACCTCCGACAAACAACCCCGATGCTCGCCACGGTTTCGAACCCACGACAAGTAGCCAAACATATCAGTTAACCTGATGAAGATGTAACAATGTCTCGATGACCCAGATCAAAACAACACCATTCCTTTTGTTTTGTTGACCTTGACTCTACGTACATTCTAGAGTTCCTATTGCCATTATGTAAGTGCACTACAGATAACTAACGTCACAAGACACCAGAGTCTTTCACTTTGTAGATTGAATAATCATTATTGGCCCACAGTGGAGGTAGCTATAGGAAACCCTATTGGAAGATAAATGGAAGACATATATAGTGGAAGACTCCTTTAGTTGTTAGTGCAAATCCCTGGCCCGCTCTAGAGTGGAAATGTGAAAATATATTTAGCAATTTTCAAAAATAAATGACACTACTACAAAAATGAAAAGAGTTGGATGTCGCGCGCAAGCAATATCATTAGTGCTTGCTCAAGTGCCTTTCTGCCAACCGATCCGTGACCTGGCCGACGACGACCCATAGATGACCTGACGGTTGAACCATATATTGGGAAGCCACATATATACATGTATCTGGTACGAAAAAAGGCACCGTCCAAGTCGTCCGCTCTCGAATATGCACTAGTCAAGCACTCAAGCTCAAGCTTGCTAATTTAAGCACACGGCCGCATCGGAGTCAAACTTGCTGGTAGCAAATCGTTCTATCAGCTAGCTCGTCTCTAGTGTTAATTTTCTGTGAGGTGTCTCTGACTCCCTCTCTATATATAGCTCTTCTCGACCGATCTGTAGTTGTATTAACAACTACGTACTTTAGTTTTCCCTCCTCATCAACTCCGAGATCAGTCGATATACAGAGGCACCATCGTATATACAGCATGCCGCCCAGCAACAAGCCGTACCATGTTTCCACCAAGAGGTCGCCGGCAGTCGTCGTCCTTGGTGTAATTTTGCTGCTGCTTGTTGTGGTCTGCAGCGACGACGGCAGCGGCGGCGGCCTTGTCTTCCTGCTGGCAGCTGCTTCAGAAGGCGAATCCGGAAGCAGCGGCCATAGTAAGTATCCACCATGGCAGCCACACTTAGCTTGGATCCCCTGTTTTTCTTTTCCCAATTAACCGGAAAGTGATCATGTCTCCTTTTGCCCTTGCCCCTTGGCAGATGATCCCAAAGGATCCGGTCCTCCGACACACCCCGACTTCATCGGGCGTGGTAAGTGTCCACGGCCAGCCAAATCAGGGCAACCCATTACCCCATTGCACGCATAATGCAGTTATAACTATTTGCATTAGTTGCTGCAGTTGTAGGAAGAGATTTGCATTAGTAAATCAAAGGCAAATTTTGCTTAGAAAAGGAATCTTTTCAACTTATAGCACATCCACAGAAAAAAGGAAAAGTATATTATTATACATGAGTAGATTTATTTAGACTTAAGAAGATTGTTGCGCCATCTTTTGTTAACGCAGATCGTGCCAAGGGAACCGGTCCTCCGACACCCCACTCTGACTCTACCGACAACCTGAAGCAGCGCGCTCATTATTTTGGAATAGGGCCCTTAATTATTGGTAACTGCGCCGTAGGGAAGGATTGCCGGATTCATCACTGATGGTCCTACGAGAAGTGAGCGGGCGACCCGCCGACGACAGCCCATCGTCGATTTGCACCAACCGTCTACAGTTTTCAACCACGTGTCCTTTCTGGTGTCAGCGGAAAAATGGTTACATTTTTTTCTAAATAAATGACTATTACTCACTCCTCAAGTGTCCGTTTTTAAATAAGTTTGCACTGCTAGCTGTATTCCTTGCCTCAAGATCTACAAAACTAGATTTCATATTTGATATTGTATGTTTTAAACTTATATGCATAGAATTGAATATAATATTATTTGTAACTTATGTACAAGCTGTATATGTAGCCTTTTATAGACATCATCGTATAGCATTAATTATTATGTATGGACATTGATGTGACAGTTCTACTTCAATAACTTTTGCTGGCGCCCCTAATGTCACAATACATGTGTAAAAATGCGCTAGAGAATTGGCGTTTGTGACGTCAAGATCCAAAAGATGTGTATTACGCGTTTCTGATGACTCTCATCAGAGATAGCTAAAACATGTCTCAGGAAGGTCTTACCAGGGACGCATTTTAGCTATCCACGTCTCTGATGAGGAATTACAAAAGCAAAACAAAAGAAGAATAACCTCAATGCTAAGGCTAGGAAACCAAATATCGGTAGTAAACAAATCTCTATCTCTATCTCTATATCTATATCTATATCTATACTACTAAAAAGAATCACTCGGACCCGTCTACCATCACCGCGGTGAAGCCGGAGCGCTCAAGCCTACCGTGCTATTGTTTGCGCCGACATGTGGCCCCCACATCCTCTCCTCCGCATGCCCCCACTCGTCCGTTCATCCGTCAACCAGGGCAAGGAAAAAAACATAAACCCCCACCCTGCTGCACCGTACTCCCGACGCCTCCGTCGTCGACGCCGCAGTGCCGCCGCTCCCCTACCGCTCCGCTGCTTTCTAGCGCCGGGAGCGCTCAGCCCCTCCCCTACCGCGCCATCGCCGTACTGTTGCCCCGCCCTCTCGCATCCCGGCGTGGCTGCGCTGCCTCCGCTCCGCACCATATTCCGCCTTAGCGCCCCCCCGCGGGCGGCCTCAGCTCGGCGAACCCCGATGCGGGCGGCGTGGGAAGAGCCCCTGGCAGGGCGGACCACCATGCTAGTCCCAGCACCGGCGAGCCCGAGCGTGTCCACCTACACAGGTGGCCCCTGGACCGGTAGCACGCGGACCTAGGCCACGGCTTCGACCCTGCATCGGATTTCGTCCCCGCTTCACCCCTTCATCAGATTTCCTCCGCTTTTCCTCGAGAGAACCCCCTGGCAAGCAAACTCGGTGCGTGACATGAAGGGCATGGGGGAGCGTAGTTCCCAGTTGACAAGGACGATATGGACCGCCGCCATGTGGCCAACATGGAACACGGGTGATTCGCTCCTTCCAGTGCCGAATCGCTTTGCGCGGCTTGACTGGTTGTGGTTGATCTGCTCCCTGTGTTCTGTTTGATGTGCCTGTCTGATTTTGCTCATTTGTGTTCTACGTAGTAACCAGGTGTGATACATACAACCATGTGGTATGAGATCGTGGCGCTGTGCTTCAACCAGGTGTTCCCCTGCTGCCACCACCGCTGCTACAATGAGACTATGGTGAGCGAATGTCCTGTATTATGTGGCTTTTTGGTAAGTAGAACTACTCAGGATTTCAGGACCCTTATGGCATCCTTGCCAATTAGCTATCACACTGCCAGACATTTTTTCGGACGCCCAGTGGGGACGGTATAGGCATAGTTATTACATTTGTGACCTCACATGTCAGTAGTTTGGTTGTATACTATACTTCTGTCAGACTTAGTTCTTGAGTGTGTTCATTTTGGTTAAATTATGTGCATGATAAATCAAGATATGGAATTCAGTGGCCGCAATGTTGCTGTTGTGCCGTAAAGAAGTGTTCATGCAATAAATTGTGAGATAAGGAACAATCTCCTAAGCAGATTACATTTGTGAATCTGTAGTTCCTGGAATGAGAACTCCATAATACATTTCTGAGCATCAACCCTGGTTGCAGGTGCCTACGAAGGGGTGTACCAAGGGGTGGTCTTGGAATGTAACACCCCAGCATGTAGTAGTTGTGTTGTCGCCCCATGTGGCACATCAGGAGTTATAGTTGGTACCTTGGAAGTTTAGGAGGATGTGGGCCAGCTTATTGTCATTCCAAACGTAGCAACTCTGGGTTAATCCTTTCCCCGAAGCAAAGATCGATGAAAGTGCAAGAGATGTGCTACACGTATGCAGGCCCGTTCCACTTGCGGAGCTGGGCCATATAAGTAGTTTTTGGTCACGAGGTGTTATAGATGGTATTTAGAGTTGTTGACACCAGAATTTGGTTCGTTACATGAGACCCCATAATTCAGAATGCACCGAGAAGAGCCGTGATTAGTTCAGAATCGGCTGGTCAAGACACTGTTCAGAGTTAGCTGGATTTTGATAACATCGTCATCTCAAAGAGACTCCGGCGGCAAAAATGGCATTAATCGGGAGCAGGAAAACATAGCGGACTCCACAGAAAGGGAAGTTTGGAGTTCAAGTTATCCTAAATTAGGATGTTTCGTTTTCTTTTCCAAGTTTTGTGACCGGTCCTATTCGACCAGGACTTGTAGTCAAGCCCCGAGTATAAATATTGAACCCTAGCTATTGTAACAGACAACTCAGCGATCAATCAATAATCAGTACCTTTACTTTTGAGCTTACGCCACCCCTTAGGAGTAGGAGTAGAGTAGATCTCGGTGAGTTCTTCGGCAAGCAGGGCGGCCATCGGTTAAGTCCGACTTCTGGTTTGTCTATGAGTATCCGTCACGACTTATATTTTGTTTGTAAGGCTGCCCTCGGTTAAGTCTGATCTCTTGCAAGCACGATATAAGTTAGTTATCATTAGTTAATTGTAAGGTTGCATCAGTCCAACTCGTATCTCTTACAATTATACGATATAAGTTACCCTTGATTCTTATCAAAATTTGTACGGTTGCATCGGTCTGGCTCGTATCTCGTACAAATTTCGATACGGATTAGTTATCGGCTAAATCTATTGAGATTGGTAGGGTTTAGTTGCCGTTTTTTAATAGATTTGCTAGTTATCGATCTTGCTATAATTAGTTTATTACTATTTGTAACAAATTCACCCCTTGCCCGGTTAAGATTGAAACGGATCAGCTTTATATCTGTTCAAATCATCATCTAGTTGTTTTTCCTGTTTACATCTTGCTTTTGACAATGGTTTCAGTTAGCTTAGCCGTTTTGATCCAATCTTGATCAAAGATAGCATGTGGTCAGTACATGTTTTACCCTATGTAAAGCCTGCTAGTTCATGAAATTTGATCTATAACTGCTATTATGGCTGCTATCAATCCAGTCGACCCCCACTGTTAGCACTATAGATCGGAGATCATTAAATAGCAAGTCTTGCTTATGGTCAAACATAGCCTCTGGCTGCATGCTATGTCTGCATCGGCTATTTAGTCGATCGCCTATGCTTCCACGATCGTAGCATGCTTTCACGACCCTGTTAAGCGCGTATAGATTCGTATGCTTGGAGGGTTTGACCTATTATCTCTATCACGGTTGCATCGGCCCGGCTCGTATCCTCACTGTTAGATATGGCAGATTAGATCTGATAAGTGTATGGACTTATCCACGTTCAACGGATCAATGTCTGTATGCTACGACTTTACTTTCACTGGAATCGGATGTTTTAGCCGATAGCCCATACATTGAGAAAATATTGGCTATTTACATGCTTTTTACTTGTTTTTGTCCTGGTTAAAATCTAGTATGTTTCTCATTTGATTCTTCCACATCTACCTCTTACACCTTTTGCATGTTTTCATGATCATCGGTTGTTTAGATCTATGCAATTGAGTAACTGATAATTGTCGATATGCTCCTTTTACTTACTATGCATCATGAACATGCTGGATATCGACTCTCTAGCCGATAGCCTTGTATCATCGGCTACTTAGCCGCACATTTGGAACTGTCTGGACAAACACCGGCATGTTTCACCTTAAATTACTGATCAATCTTGTCTCCTTGTCAATTGCAGGGTCAAATTGACTGGCACGCCCAAGGTCATGACCATCCAGTCCGGTGTCCTCTTAAGTCTGGGGAGAGCTCGGGATCTACTCCACGCGGTTTCTCTCGGCTTGCTGTGTGTTCTCCAGCGGTGGGTCCATCACTTTTCATCGTTAATCATCAACATGGACAACGAAGCGATCCTCAAGGTCAACCTCGAAGACCTACCTGATGACTAGAAAGCACTTGTTGAGCAGGCGGCGGAGGAGTTCTATGAGAAGTGCCTGCTGTCTTACAGCAGGACGCGCGATTTAGTCGTCTAGAAGACTCCCCTACCAAGCATTCTCCTGTATGGGCAAAGAGAAGATGTTGAAGCAATAACGACTGCCCATCTAGTCCACAAGACTGTTCACAAAGCCTTAACAAATCACAATAACGTGTTAGCCAACACAACTGGCAATGTCTTGAAGGAAGTTTTCTTTGGAGCGCCAGTTGATCAAATGGGGCTAGCATACTTCAATGGCTTTAATCCTTCGGCTCTAGGAAGCAATGTACCTTGTTCTAGTCAGCAGCCGAATGGTGGACAGTTCTAATAGCCACCAACACAGTAGCTTACAGGAGGACAAGCTCAAGATCAAACCCAACAAGCAGCAGGGGGGCAAGGTCAAGCCCCGCCAACAGCATGGGGCATGGTCAAATGGCAAGGGGGCAACTGCCAGCGTAGCAGTTACCAAGTGCCCCTGTCACTCAGACAGTTTAGCAGCTCACTATACAAAAATCAAGCTTATTCAGTCCAATAGCCAACCTCTGCAGCTACTCAGCAGGTTGCGCAACGGCTGGCTTAGGGAAGTTTCAATACTTCCCACCAAACGCCTCAGTCGGCCCATAAAATTGCTTCATTTATGCAGAGGATCATCAAGAATGTTGATCCTAACTACTTCAATAGTCGATTGCAAGGATATGCAACTCACAAT